CCAGAATATTGGAGTGGGTAACCTTTCCCTTCTCCAGGGTATCTTCCCAACCCAGGGATTGAACCAAGGTCTCTCACATTGCAGGCAGATTCTTTACCATCTGAGCCAATCAAATATTATTAGTGAAAGTAGCTCAGTCGTGTCCAACTCTTTGTGACCCCATGAACTACTGTCCATGGAATTCTCCAGGCCAGAATACTGGAGTGGGTAACCTTTCCCTTCTCCAGGATATCTTCCCAACCCAGTGATTGAACCAAGGTCTCTCACATTGCAGGCAGATTCTTTAACAGCTGAGCCACAAGGGAAGCTCTCAAATAATGTTAAATATATTCTAATACAAAAGGCCCTCAATAATTATATTTTTAAAAAGATGTCCTGAAGTATTACTTAGGTAATACTTTTGTTTGAGAATCTGAGAAAAGCAATGGGATTATTCAGAATTGCTGTTGTTGTTGTTCAGTCAGTAAGTCATGTCCAACTCTTTGCCACCCCATGGACTGCAGCACACCAGGCTCCCCTATCTTTCACAATTTCCCAGTTGAGCAATTTCACAATTGCTCAAACTCATGTTCACTGAGTCAGTAATGCTATCCAACCACCTCATTCTCTGCTGTCCCTTCTCCTGCCCTCAATCTTTCCCAGCATTAGGGTCTTTTCCAATGAAAATAATTACTTATAGTTAAAAAAAAATGAATTCCTTATCAAATGTATCTTTAGGGATAAACTTGAGATTCACTTGTAGTTTGGCCAGTTACTATGACCTTGGAAACATACTCAACCTCACTAAATCCTAATTTCCTTATCTGAAAAATGATGGTGAAAGTATCTTCCTCATAGGGTACACACAAGGATTATGACCATATAAGTAAATAAGTTTCCATAGTTCCTGGTATTAAAAGCTCAATAAAATTAAAAAAAATGTTAATAAATTAAAAAAATATTGATAGTGATGCTATGCTTTTTTAGCCAAGTAATCAATTAGGTTATGTGTTTACTATGATCATTATGTCCCCCTTTATAGTTAAATTTTAAGTCTCCACTCTCTAGAATTTTTTTTAGCTACACTGCATAAACAAGTTTTTTCCTTTATTGATCAGAATTATGCCACCTTTTTGCTTCTTCAAGTTTGAGAGCTCTCTGGGCAAAATACTACTCACCATGGCCTGTAAAAACTTGATTTATGGGCAATATAGATTCCTTTAGTATCAGGGACACATATATCCTTATTTATTTTATTGACTGCTGATTAGGTGTAGGAAAATCAACACATTTGGCATTCATTCAACACTATTTATCTACTCATATTAGGCAAAGCTCTAGGATGGAGACAGAGCAACAGACAAAATCTTTGGCTTCGTGGATGCTGGGAGGAATAAAATTACTTGTAAAGTGGAATAGTAAGTGGTTAATAAGTAGCAGTGAGGGCAAAAATCTTGTTTTCTTCTGTGGGAAACTTCACTGAGCTGTAATACGTAGGAAGAAAAACAGACATCTGATTTTAAGAGCAATTGTTAAGAATAAGTGGAGACCTATGACTGATTCATGGTGAGGTTTGGTAGAAACCAACACAATACTGTAAAGCAATTATCTTTCAATTAAAAATAAATTATAAAATAAGCCAGAAAGATAAAGACCATTACAGTATACTAACACATATATATGGAATTTAGAAAGATGGTAACGATAACCCTATATGCAAAACAGAAAAAGAGACCCAGATGTATAGAACAGACTTGTGGACTCTGGGAGAAGGCGAGGGTGGGATGTTCCAAGAGAACAGCATCGAAACATGTATATTATCCAGGGTGAAACAGATCACCAGCCCAGGTTGGGTGCATGAGACAAGTGCTCGGGCCTGGTGCACTGGGAAGACCCAGAGGGATAGGGTGGAGAAGGAGGTGGGAGGGGAGATCGGGATGGGGAATACATGTAAATCCATGGCTAATTCATTTCAATGTATGACAAAAACCACTGCAATGATGTAAAGTAATTAGCCTCCAACTAATAAAAATAAATGGAAAAAAAATAAAACATTTATGATCAAAAAAAAAAAAGAATAAGTGGTAAATCACAGAGCTTTCATTCAATTCCAGCTATATATCCGCTGACAGTATTAGCTGTAAAATTTGACAGGATATAGTATCTTCCTTCACAGAGCTTCTAATCTAGTTGGATGATATACTAATAAATCTGTTAAAGTACTTTACTGTCTTCGGTGTTGTTGTTTAGTCACTAAATCACGTCCAACTCTTTTGCTACTGACAGGCTCCTCTGTCCATGGGATTTCCCAGGCAAGGATACTGGAGTGAGTTGTCATTTCCTCTTTCAGGGACAGTCCCAGGGACTGAACCTCTGTCTCTACTGCCAGGCAGATTCTTTAACACTGAACCACCTGGGAAGCCCTTCTTCAGTGTAGCAAAAAACTAGCAGAAGAGAAAAGGCTGAGGAAAGCATATGCTCTTGAGCCACCCAAATGGAGTATTCCTGTATGTCACCATTCCAGGGCAAATGGCAGCCACATTCTTTTGTGTTACAAACTGGGATATTAGTGCCTCTATGAAATAGTGATGCCCACCATTTGCCATTACTGAATTATTTCACTGATCTAATTACATTTCTGATAGTTTAAGATGTTTTAGTCCCTGTACTTTCATAGCAACATATAATTACCAAGGGAAGAGATTATAGTATAGGAAGCCTGTCTTCTTGAACATTAAAACAAAAACAAAAAAACTACATACACTAATTAATACACAATTAAAGAATGAATAAAGAAGCCTACGATACTGGCATAGGTTGATACTAACACAGCCTTTTAGATGGACTAAAAGAAATGAACTGTAACATGATCAGGAGCATCTGGGAAAAACTTAGTGGAAAAAGTGATGTCCAAGTTTGGCCCTGAAACTCTAAGAAGAAAGAGGAAGTTGTGCTCCAGTTCAGCTGGAGACAAGGAATGAAGGGTAGGAAGAATAATTACTCAAAGCCAGACATGTTCTTGAAGGGGGCACTTATTTTACAACTCGAGTACACTTGTTTGTTGGACACAATTAGTGAAATGTGGAATACAGAACATTACAGTTTCAATCTTTACCTTGATGAATGACTGTCCCTTTTTGCTCAAATGTCTCACCTAATATCTTTCTGGAAGGGCTTCCTGCTACCCTTACTGTCAGTAAGCTACAAATATCTTTCAGTACTAAAACCTTCCACTGGTAAAACAAGCACTCCAGAGTTTTAAGGTTTATTCACAAGTTAATGAGATATTCTATAAAAACAAATACTTTTATTGTGTATTTATCAAGCACTAAGGCAGGCTTATTTTTAACTCTAGGACTGACCTATCCATTGGGTATGTTTACTCTCATTTAATAGGTTTGAGAAAACAGGGATCTAGGCAGACTGTTGGGTTCACCTGGACCACAAAATTAGTTTGTATTTTAACAGAGGTTTCTCTGATATACACATACACACAGGGCTAAGAAAAAACACTGTTACTGTTAGGCCAGTAGTAAAAAAACAGGAATTCTCCACTTATTCTCTGCCCATCCCTGATTTTCCTTCACCAGAGACTACCAATTTTAAGTCTTTAGCTATTTGTTACTGTACTTCTAAGTGACAAGTTATACTGCTTTTTTTAAAACCGACATTTCTGTATCAGATCTTGATGTATTCTCTATTACATATACACTCCTTTCCAACTATCTAATAATTTGTTATTATTTGTATTGTTTACATAAATATGACTGACTTTATATGATGACTAACATTATTCACAGTTGAGTTAATGCAGTGTAATTGCTGAAAACTTTTATTTTTCCTGAGGCTCATAATTGCCTCAATTTTGTTTCCTTAATTAGAAAAAAATATGCGGACCACTAATTCGTCTCCAGACTCTCTAAAACCTAAAAACCTCTTGACCCAATATTTATAAACACATGATAATGTATCCGTTTTTCTTTCTGAGACATTCCACCTGAACTATCATCTTTAGGCATTTCTTGTTGACCTCATGCTGTTCTCCCTTCTCTCTTTCATATGGTTATATTTTAGCAACTTTACCATTATTCTTTAAGTAAAATAAAATGACCTCTTCCCCCATTGACAACAGACTCTACGTGTCAACTTCCCACTTTAAAAGACACCATTACTTTTCCAGGACCCTCCCCGCCATCCTACCTTGTAAATTGCACTTTTATGCCATCAAGACTGATAATATTGGCACTTAACTCTGTAACCGTAATTAAGCATTCTCTTAGAAAGATGAAAACCATAACAGCATTTACATTATAATTATTTAAATGTTATTCAATAAATCGCCAAGCTTTGTGCTATGATTGGATTTCCTTTTCTTTGGCTCCAAGATTCTGAATCACATGCTAATTATAGCGACGCTGAAATTGAGTCCACCTTCTTACACTCCAACCCTCTGTCAAAACCCTGCAGTATTTTACACTGTGTGGTTATCTGAAGGATGTATTTCTCTTACAACGATTTTTTGTTTGTTTTTTCACTTAAAAGTTTCTGATCGTCATAGTTTTCTCTTGTGAAGAGATGTTTGCCTTCCACTGCATATCCTTAAGATCTTCAGCTTCTGACTCATCCTGTTTATAATCCAGTCTCATCTTCCCGAAATTTAACACGGACCATGAGCTTGTACACGTCTGTCCTGAAAGTTTTGATAGCCATCCCTTGTTATAATACATCCTGTTCGCCACGCTTTTAAGGATACACAGCTTCTTAAATATTGTCGTGGGTCTTAACTGAAGTTCTCGGTTCCCGGAATCGCTATTTCCTCTTCCTAAACTCGGGAGGTCTCGGTGCCAGTTCAGGGCCTGGGAGGGGAGCAGACGGCGGAGAGGCGAGAGCGCAGCGGTGGAGGCAGACCAAGCACTCTCGCGAGACAGAGAGACTCCTCGCCCGGAGCTCCAAGACGCCGCGGCGCCTCCTGGGAGTCGGCCATAATGCAGGCCCGGGACGCCGGCGGCATCCCGAGGGCTCTAAAAATGTACCTGCAAGCGGATGTTGAGAACCACTGAGCCCGCGATGTAGAAATACGGGAAGTTCATGCGCAGCTGCCAGGCCAGCTCGAAGAAGGCGAGCAGGGTGCGGGAAAGCCCCTTGCAGAAGACCCCGTACGAGCTGGGGGTCGCGGCCGGGCTCCAGGCCCTGAGGGCCAAAGATGACGGAGCCGCCGCGGTGGCCATGGACGCGATGTTGCCGCTCGCCCGGTGCGGTGCCTGGAACCGAGGGTGATCGCAGACCCCGCGGACCCCCAACTGATGGCGATGACCTGGAGGGGCCGGGGGCTTAGCAGCCGGCGGGCGCGCACTCCAGCTCACGCTGCCGCCGCTTCTTTCAATGCCGCGGTGGGGCTCGGGTTGCGGCTGGCGCTCCGCCCCTTCCTGTCTGCTGCTGAAAATGACATTCAGCGTTTAGAGTTTAACTCTTGGTAGGTCCGGAACGGCTTACTTATTTACGTATATGCCACACAGTTATTTTATACAGCAATTACAAACACCCTTACAGATACTCGTTTCACTTTAAAATGAAGAAAGGAAACCAAGTAAAATTCTGTAATTTGCCCTAGAGCCCCGTCCAAAGCTTTCGTTAAAACTCGGGTTAGTCTGCTGTGGACTGTTGCCGTTCGATTTCGTAACATTTATCTGTTTAAATAAGCCAGTTAGGGCACAGAGTCTCTGTATTCACAACATACTACTAAAACTTAAAGGGTCACAATCTCAGGCAATGAATTTCCTATGTATTAGGACTATTTCAGTTGCAAGTGCCGGAAATTAACACACGTAAAGCAAACACAGATTGTTTATTATTTCTGGAGGTACACATTATATGCAAATATCAAGTTCTCCCTCATGTAAACCCATGAAACGTTCAAATTAGGTATGAAGGCTTCTATCATTTCTTCATGGGCACCTGTGAAATATGTGGTTAGGAGGGGAAGGCTTGGAATAATTACATTTACTTCCAAGCCCCGAATACCCTTAAGGTAACATCTTAATGGATCGTCCGTATTATTTAAGTGATGCTCATTTCATTAACTTCTGTATTCCATTTTAACTAGTAAGCACTGTATTTTTCCTCATAGATAACCTCTACATTCGTGAGTTATTCAGACATGTGACTCTGATTATAGCTCAGATTATGGTCTAGTTCTGAAAAGCGTTCTTTCAATATCTCAGAATTCGCCCTGCACTGAATAACTGTAGCAGCTGTTCAAAGCACAATTTATTGTGTTTTTTTTTTTTTTCGTACAGCCCACTGACCATAAGATTGGTACAAATAGCATGCCATTGTGCAATTTGTAAAGCTGAATTGTGTATCCCCAACTAGTTTCTTTTGCTATTTTGCTAGGCCAGTACCAACCCATCAACTAGACAGCACCTAAAGGAACTTATTACTGCTCACTTAGGGAAACTTATAAAATGCTGATTTGGAGACTGAAGAGAAGTGTAAGATAATGACAATTCAGAACCAAGAGAAGATGTAAATTTTTGGTATAGAAGTAAAATTTGTCCTTTCTGAAAATTGAAAGAACAATAGTGGGTATAAGTGTCACACAAATCATTAAATCCCTGAATCTTCCTCTTCCAACTATCTAAAACTATGTGGATTCATTCTCCCACCATTCTTGTGGAAGGGAGGTGGGAGGGGGGTTCAAGATGGGGAACACATGAAAATCCATGGCTGATTCATGTCAATGTATGGCAAAAACCACTACAATATTGTAAAGTAATTAGCCTCCAACTAATAAAAATAAATGAAAAAATAAAAAATTATTTTATAAATTTTTAAATTATAAATTTATAATTATATTCCTATAAGTTAATTTAATTAATATTTTATATGACACAAATCAACCTCAAAGTGATTTAGAAAATAAATGTGTTTGAAATTATAAAAAAAAAAAATATTTTAATTAAACTCATAATTTTTATGGAGATTGCATTCAATCTATAGCTCTCTTGGGGTGGTATGGATATTTTAACAATATTAATTCTTCCAATCCATGAGTATGGAATAGCTTTCTACTTATTATTTTCTTCACCTTCTTCAGTTTCTTTGAATGTCTTGCAGGTTTCAGTGTACAGGTCTTTCACCTGATTAGTTAAGTTTATTCTGAGGTGTTGTATTCTTTTTGATGCAGTTATAAATGAGATTGTTTTTCTAATCTTTCTGATATTTCATTGTTAATGTATAGAAATGCAACTGAATTTTGGATATTGATTTTATATCTTGTAAGTTTCCTGAATTTATTAGTTCTAGCAGTTTTTGTTTTGTGTGTGGAGTTTTTAGGTTTTTTTTTTTTAACATATGCCATTTGCAAATAAAGACAGTTTTGCTTCTTCCTTTTCAATTTGGGCACTTTTTATTTTTTATCTTGCCTAATTGCTATGGCTAGGACTTTGTATACTATGTGGAGTAAACCATGAACAGTCAGTTCAGTTCAGTCTCATGTCCAACTCTTTGTGACCCCAGCACCGCAGCACACCAGGCCTCCCTGTCCATCACCAGCTGCAGGAGTCCACTGAAACCCATGTCCATCGAGTCAGTGATACTATCCAACTATCTCATCCTCTGTCATCCCCTTCTCTTCCTGCCCTCAGTCTTTCCCAGCATCACGATCTTTTGAAATGAGTCAGCTCTTCACATCAGGTGGCCAAAGTATTGGAGTTTCAGCTTCAACATCAGTCCTTCCAATGAACACCCAGGACTGATCTCCTTTAGGATGGACTGGTTGGATCTCCTTGCAGTCCAAGGGACTCTCAAGAGTCTTCTCCAACACCGTAGCTTAAAAGCATCAATTCTTCGGCGTTCAGCTTTCTTTATAGTCCAACTCTCACATCCATACATGACCACTGGAAAAACCATAGCCATGACTAGACAGACCTTTGTTGGCAAAGTAATGTCTCTGCTTTTTAATATGCTGTCTAGGTTGGTCATAACTTTCCTTCCAAGGAGTAAGTGTCTTTTAATTTCATGGCTGCAATCACCATCTGCAGTGATTTTGGAGCCCAGAAAAATAAAGTCAAACTATTTCCACTGTTTCCCCGTCTATTTGCCATGAAGTGATGGGACCGGATGCCATGATTTTAGTTTTCTGAACGTTGAGCTTTAAGTCAACTTTTTCACTCTCCTCTTTCACTTTCATCAAGAGGCTCTTAACTTTCTTCCATAAGGGTGGTGTGAAAAGGCAAAAAGATAGGACACATAAAGATGACCTCCTCAGATCAGTAGGTGCCCAATATGCTACTGGAGATCAGCGGAGAAATAACTTCATAAAGAATGAAGGGATGGAGCCAAAGCAAAAACAACACCTAGTTATGGATGTGACTGGTGATAGATGCAAGGTCTGATGCTGTAAAGAGCAATATTGCATAGGAACCTGGAATGTTAGGTCCATGAATCAAGGCAAATTGGAAGTGATCAAACAGGATGGCAAGAGTGAATGTTGACATTCTAGGAATCAGTGAACTAAAATGGACTGGAATGGGTGAATTTAACTCAGATGACCATTATATCTACTACTGTGGGCAGGAATCCCTTAGGAGAAATGGATTAGCCATCATAGTCAACAAAAAAGTTCAAAATGCAGTACTTGGATGCAATTTCAAAAATGACAGAATGATCTCTGTTCCTTTCCAAGGCAAACCATTCAAAATCATGGTAATCCAAGGCTATGCCCCAACCAGTAATGCTGAAGAAGCTGAAGTTGAACATTTCTATGAAGACCTACAAGACCTTCTAGAACTAACACCCCCAAAAAGATGTCTTTTTCATTATAGGGGACTGCAATGCAAAAGCAGGAAGTCAAGAAACACCTGGAGTAACAGGCAAATTTGGCCTTGGAGTACAGAATGAAGCAGGGCAAAGGGTAATAGAGTTTTGCCAACTGGTCATAGCAGTTGACCAGAAGGCACTGGGCAGCACAAACAGCTTCTTCCAACAACACAGGAGAAGATTTTACACATGGATATCACCAGATGGCCAACACCAAAATCAGATTGATTATATTCTTTGAAGCCAAAGATGGAGAAACTCTATACAGTCAGCAAAATCAAGACCAGGAACTGACTGTGGCTCAGATCATGAACCTATTGCCAAATTCAGACTTAAATTGAAGAAAGTGGGGAAAACCACTAGACCATTCAGGTATGACCTAAATCATATCCCTTATGATGATACAGTGGAAGTGAGAAATAGATTTAAGGGACTAGATCTGATAGCGTGCCTGATGACCTATGGATGGAGGTTCATGACATTCTACAGGAGACAGGGATCAAGACCATCCCCAAGAAAAAGAAATGTAAAAAAGCAAAATGGCTGTCTGAGGAGACCTTACAAATAGCTGTGGAAAGAAGAGAAGTGAAAAGCAAAGGAAAAAAGGAGAGATATACCCATTTGAATGCAGAGTTCCAAAGAATAGCAAGGAGAGATAAGAAAGCCTTCCTCAATGATCAATGCAAAAAATAGAGGAAAACAATAGAATGGGAAAGACTAGAGATCTCTTCAAGAAAGGTACTAAGGGAAAATTTCATGCAAAGATGGGCTCAATAAAGGACAGAAATGGTATGGACCTAACAGAAGCAGAAGATATTAAGAAGTGGCAAGGATACACAGAAGAACTGTACAAAAAAGATCTTCATGACCCAGATAATCACGATGGTGTGATCACTCACCTAGAGGCAGACATCCTGGAATGTGAAGTCAAGTGGGTCTTAGGAAGCAACACTATGAACAAAGCCAGTGGAGGTGATGAAATTCTAGTTGAGCCATTTCAAATCCTGAAAGATGATGCTGTGATAGTGCTGCACTCAATATGTCAGGAAATTTGGAAAACTCAGCAGTGGCCACAGGACTGGAAAAGGTCAGTTTTCATTCCAATCCCAAAAAGGCAATGCCAAAGAATGCTCAAACAACTGCACAATTGTACTCATCTCACACACTAGTAAAGTAATGCTCAAAATTCTCCAAGCCAGGCTTCAGCAATATGTGAACAGTGAACTTCCAGATGTTCAAGCTGGATTTAGAAAAGTCAGAGGAACCAGAGATCAAATTGCCAACATCTACTGGATCATCAAAAAAGGAAGAGAGTTTCAGAAAAACATATTTTTCTGCTTTATTGACTATGCCAAAGCCTTTGACTGTGTGGATCACAATAAACTGTGGAAAATTCTGAAAGAGATGG